TTGGTATCTTTTTTTCTTCTTGTGCTTCAGATTAAACAATCTGGGAGGAAAAGGACAGACTATTCAATTGGACAAAGTAAGCTTAAATTCTAACCATCTCTTCAGCCTCTAAGTTTATATGTGAATAAAGACATTACAGATTTTTAATTTTAAAACAGATTTCTTGCTATCAGGAAATGTATAGGGAAATTAAATTGATTAAAACATTCTTAATTACTTTCTTACTTTACAAAACAGATCTCAACTTTCTTGTTTCTTATTTTGGACACAGATGCTTTGTTCTTTGAATTTATGTTTATAACCTCTTGGCATCAAATGTACTTTCTATAGGCATCATTCTAATATGATTTAGTTTATAGTTGAAAGTGTTGGTCAAAAAGTGGATTAGAATTCATTCTATCATTAAGTTTCATATTTCAATTCTTCTTAAAGAAAATATCAAATTTGAAATTAACATTACATGGGTGTAGGCAATTGGCTATATAGAGAATTGCTAAATGAATCAGAGTATTTGTGCTCACTTTTAAAATGTGAAACTACAAATATGAGAAATGGCTTATAAACATTGCATAGGTCAGCCCCTACTTGCAAGCATTGTTCTAAAAATCGGCCTAGGCGGACCGATTAATCGGCCTAGGCGGCCTAGGCGGCCCTAACCGTAGAGTCCTAGTCGGTCTAGTCGACCAAAAAATCGGCCTAGTCGGCCGAAAAAATCGGCCTAGTCGGCCGCCTAGGCGCTAGGCGCCCCTCTACCGCCCGACTAGCGCCTAGCGAGTTTTAGAACAATGCTTGCAAGTCTTATCAGATCACCATAATGCCAATAGCATGTGATGACTGAAAAATTGCTTATTCAATATAAGCTCATGTCCTACTTGTTACGATTTAGGTTAAGTAAAATGATAAATTAAAGAGCTAGAACACAAGAATTTACGTGATTCACATAATCGGGCTGATTGTGCTAGTCCACGGCGAACGAGAGAGAGCTATGTATTATTATGTCGGCGTCAGAGTTTTCACATACATAAGATGTGTTTAAATAGGTTTAAGAAAACCTAAACAATGATTAGAGCCGCAGGCCCAAAAACTAAGCCCGTAATTAAAATTTCCCGCATACCCGGTCGGGTAAACCCATGTACCCGGTCGGGTATGTGATACAGAGAGCCTTTCTCCACGCTACCCCGGTCTGGTAGCCAGGCGGGTAGCCTTCACTGCCAAGATACCCGGTCGGGTAAAATACCCTACTTGGTCGGGTATCACTTCCAGAGAGTTGCCCGGGTAAAACCATCCTCATACCCGGTCGGGTAATTCAACCTACCCGGTCGGGTATATGCTCCAATATTAAAAAAAAACAAGGCTCCATCTTCAACAATCTCCCACTTGAAGGCTTGTTCAACAGTCATCTGCCATCCAAGAACATGTATCCTCTGTAAAACCCCTGATCTCTCTCGTTCACGCCTTCTCATCAAGTATCTGAAAGGCCAGTTGAAGTCATGCATAGCTTTAACTTCTTCATTGTCACCGTCTTGGTAAGCATGTCTGCTGGATTCTTCGTACCAAGGATCTTCTTCATATTTATGGTACCGTTTTCAATCAACTCTCGGATGAAATGGTATCGCATCTTGATGTGTTTCGTTCTGCTGTGAAACACTGGATTCTTCGCGAGATGAATAGCACTCTGGTTGTCACAGTATAGACCGCAATCCCCCTGCTTCATGCCCAACTCCGAAAGAAAGTTCTTCAACCAAATCGACTCTTTTGCCGCTTCAGAAAGGGCCATATACTATGCTTCTGTGGTTGAAAGAGCCACACTCTTTTGTAGTCTGGACATCCAACTTATCGCCGTACCTCCAATTGTGAACACATAACCCGTAGTGCTCTTCCCGGAATCATAACAGCCCCCCAAATCAGATAAATATACACATTGTTTATTCGTTGAATTACGTGAATGTCGATCAGATGGAGAAATTCAGCAAAATGAGAGTGATGATGGTTCTATAAAAGCTCCGGATGTCGGTATGGAATTTGATAGCAAAGAAGCGGTGTATGATTTCTACAAGGCATATGGGAAGCGTTTAGGATTTCCCATAAGAACTAGGAGCACCACGAAACACAAAAATGGAGTAGATATAGTTGGAGTGTTACTAGAGTGCTCTCATGCTGGTAGTAGATCTACTAGGTCAAAAAATCAATTGAAGCCTCAACCTTCAATGCAAATGGGATGTGGAGCAAGAATACGAGCACACACAAATTATGCGGTACGTTGGGAAATTTCAAAAATCTGTCTTGAGCATACCCATCCCATGAGTCCAACTAAGGCTCGCCTATTCCGGTGCTATAGGACTTTGACTCCCCAAGCAAAGAGGCAAGTTGCAATCAACGATGTGGCCGGAATACGACTTTATAAAACCTTCAATGCAGCTGTTGTTGAAGCCGGTGGGTATGATCAACTCCCTTTTATTGAAAAAGATTGTAGGAACTACATTGAAAATGTAAGACAACTTAGGTTAGGGAGTGGTGATGCCATGGCACTTCAAGAGTTTTTTTCTACAATGCAAGCTCAAAGCCCCGGATTTTTCTATGTCCTTGACTTAGATGACGAGTCCCGATTGCGTAATGTGTTTTGGGCCGACAGTCGATGTAGATATGCATACAAAGATTTTGGAGATGTCATAACATTTGACACAATCTACCTCACGAATCGGTATGACATGCCTTTTGCACCATTTGTGGATGTTAATCACCACGGTCAATTAAGTTTGCTAGGTTGCGGATTAATCTCTAATGAAGATACGCAAACATTCGTATGGCTATTCAAAGCATGGCTTGAGTGTATGGAAGGACGTGCTCCGATGGGCATTATTACGGATCAAGACCGTGCAATGCAAAACGCCATCCAAATTGTTTTTCCAAATACAAGACATTGATGGTGCCTATGGCATATTATGAAAAAGGTACCGGAAAAAATGGGAGGCATTACAGAAAAAAAGAAATCTTGGATGCTATTCATGAATCCATTTGTGACTCACAATATGTTCCACAATTTGAGCAAAGTTGGAAGGAAATGATACAAAGGTACCCTTTATTTCCTTAAAACTTTGACCCATTCCAGAAGGTTTTTGTCTGTGAAATAAATAAATGTGTTCTTCACAGGCATACAAAATGTACACCACAGACACAATAGTGTCTGTGAGCAAACATTATATCTTTACTTCATATATATTTTTAATGTTATTTCAAGTATTCCCTACAAGATCATGAATGGCTTGCAGTGATGTACAACGAAAGACACCGGTGGGTGCCATGCTTCTTAAAGACAACTTTCTGGGAAGGTATGTCTACCACTCAACGAAGTGAAAGTATCAATGCTTTTTTCGATGACTTTGTGCATTCCAAAACTAGTCTTAAGGAATTCGTTGAGCAATACGGACGTGCATTACGAAAAAAGGTAGAAAAAGAATTTCAAGCCGATGCAAGTTCGTTTGCAAAAACGATTCCTTGTGTTTCATCATTTGAAATGGAATAACAAGTCCAAGAAATTTACACCCTAGCTAAGTTCAAGGAGTTTCAAGATGAACTTGTAGGTCTTTTGTATTGTGATCTACTACAAAACGAAGCAGATAGAAAATTTCATGTTAAGGAGGTCCGAAAGATAAATGGGTTTCGAAAGACCGTTGACTTCGTTGTTGAATATGACCCATTAACTACTTTTGGAATATGTAGTTGTCATTTGTTTAAATTTAGGGGTATTGTATGTAAACACTTGATTGTGGTCTTACGTCGGCTTGGATTGGATTCCTTACCCGAGATTTACCTATTGCGAAGATGGAGGAAAGATGTTATAGAGCTTACACAAAGGTGAAAATAAATTACGATGGGTGGATCACAACGGTGGAACAAGAACGGTTTAATAAGTTGTGCAAGACTTTTGAATCACTTGCAAATATGATTGTGGATGATGATGAGAAGTACCAAAGTGTTCTTATTTGGTTGGAGACTCAATTGTCGACATATACTCCTCCCCATGTTCCTCGGTCTTCCATATGTGGCAACCTAACATCTATCCCACAACTGAGTAGTCGTGTGCAATGTGAGGTTCCAAAAAACATAGGAGGTCCTAAGTGTTTAAAGCGCAAGGGTGCCCTGAGGAAAAACCGTCAAAGGGGACCATTGGAGAAGGGGAAGAAGAAATTGGGGGCTAGGAATGACAATGGAAGTGCCCCACAAGCTAGCACTGACCATGGCAATGCACGGGAGGATCAGAATGACATGATGAACTATAGTGGTTTAGATTTAAATCTTAGTTTGATGTAAATGTGCATGCATGTTTGTTCACAGACATTTATGTAATACGTCACAAACAAACTTTTTGGTCTTTACAAACACAAGACGTGTTTCTGGGCAAATTTTTGTGTGTTTCAGAAATGTATTTTTTTGTTATGTCTGTTTTTGAAACTACAAAAAATTGAAACATTGCACAGACAAATGCAACACAAATCACTGACAAGTACGACACAAATCACAGACAAAATCGTATTACAGCACAAACACGTTACACAATGGGTTACATATACTACTACTATTTAAACATCTACGAAGTATAAAACAAGTAAAAATTTTCAAATAAAAGTAATTAAATTACATAAAGTATTGGAATGTTAGAAAGTTATTTTTAAATTACATAAATTAGTGGAATACTAAATTACATAAAAGTTATTGAATTTAACATTTCTCACTTATCTACTTTTGATTACTTTTATTTATTAATTTGTTAGAAATATTAAAATTATAAAGTGAGTAATAATTTCTTAATATCGTGATTTAATTTATTCCCCTCATACAAATTTCAACAATCATTTATTTATGGCGAAATGATACCACTTATCTCTAAACGTTGAGGTTATTAATTACATAAACTAGCTATTAATTTTTTTATTACTACAATACAAATCACAGATAACAACACACAAATCACAGACAAACTCGTATAACAACACATACAAGGTTTTTCTTCTTCACAAGCAAATGCATCATCTGTATATATTGTCACAAAAACCAAGAGTGTATGCCACCAATTCTGGTAATCCTTGGGAGTACATTCTAGGACATTGTACAACATTGATAGTGTAACATTGTACAACCTCCTACATTTAACAACCAAATCCATGTAGGCAAACAATGAGCAAAATAAAATGTACTCCCTCCCTAAATAAACTTCCAACTTTCCTTTTTTGGCCAGAATTTATGGTTCATACAATTCTTAACACATTTCTCCATAGTCCCTCCTCTGCACAACTCTCCACCACACAATACTCACTATCTTAAACTGTGTGCCAAACCTATTTAGAAGATATAATAGGGATGGAGGGAGTATATAGTAACGTTACATAAATGTTTTACAACCAAACTCATCCTCCAATAATCTTGTCTAACTCGATCGCTTCCTCAAACTCCACAACCTCATTGTGAATTCACATCTTTTTGCTGCCATGTTCTCATACGCACACTCGGGCAGCAATGGCAACTTCTGCAAGAGTGCTTCGGCAAAGGCCATAACCATGACGGCGCAAACACCGGATCTGGACACAAAAGAATTAATACAGACATTACATTTACATGCACAGACAAACAATATTTGTGTGCAAACAAAATAATATTCACAGAACATGAATGTACCCGGGTTGCTGTTGTGGAACATTGTCCACTGCCTCCACTCTCCAAGGGTGTGAATCTGCTGTGGCGCTAAGAGCGGGGTTGCATTTTATATTTTTAAACAGCAGTGGAAGTCTCATACACAAAAGTCTCACAGATCCAACTAATCTACGCGTCTTCATAGAATCGTATACCCGTATGACCTTATTGAGTAAGTCAATTTCAGACAACACCCAGTGTTTTCCATCACTATGCAATGGCATGAACACCTGTACAAACAATAAAGTAGTTAAAAGATGACTTTAACCTTCACCTTCATATATCAACCACATCCATAGCAGAATTAAGATTACTTTAAAAAGGCTTATGGTAAATAGAGGAGATAAGAACAATTAAAAGATAAGTAGTTTCAGCTTGTGTCTTACTACTTCATATTTTATTATTTTGAAGACTAACCTTTTCAAACTGCGTCCAGTCCATTCTGCTAAGCAATCGGTCCCCACTTCATTGTGAATCGTCAACTATATCCTTCTGTAAAAGTTGGTACTACACCAAAAACAAAATTACATACAACAAAAGTTTTGCACAGACATTACTTTATAAGTGCACAGATAAGTAAAGTTCAAAGGCACAGACACAATATAAAGTTTTAATCAATTACCGCGAACAAAGGACTCATGATTTGGTAGGCCTCAGCGTATATGCATTTGCGAAATAGAAGAACAAGTGCATCCAAATGCTTCAAAATAACAGTTTATCAAAGCCTAAAAAAACCATTCAACTATAATTGTATAAAATGAAATAGTCCTTATATACACTCACCTGGCGACTTAGCCATGCGGTTTCATCAATCAGCTCTCGGAAGAAGGCCCTATTTGTCGGGTAAGATGATGGGATAGCAATCTCAAGTACGCACGGTTCAAGCTCAGCATCTTCCTCCACCCATGCTTTGAAGGATTCACATTCTTCATCACTTATTTAAAGTAGAGTTGGGCTTATGGTACCTCCAACCTTCGGCCTCTTTGCGGCAGGCGCTATGACTGGGCTGTAAATGTACTTTGATGGCAACATCTTTCTCTTTCTCACTTCTTTCATACTAGCTTCTTCGAGGGCCATCATGTCTACACCGGCAGTTACCACATCATCACCAAGGCCATCCCACTCCAAGTTTTCAAATGGAGTGTGGGCCGTGGGGTGTTAAAGTAGGGTACTTGTCATCTCCCACCTACGCATAACGATCAAAGTTAGGGAACATATACGCAGACACAAATTTATGTCGGTGAGGACGTGTATACTATGCATGTGCACTTAATGTGTAATGTCTGTGTGAACTGGATAGTGTTTGTGAAAATAAACTTCATGATTACAAATGACAATGTGCACCTCATTTAAGGAGATCAAAAGATCTGTGGGAGTGGGACAGTCCTCATACATGTGTTCTTCTTCGGTACCCCCCTTCAACTTTGAAATGAAGGAAAACTTATATTATCCAAAAAAAATCATGACGAACAAAATATTTAAAACAGACAATCGGTATCAATGTATCATTCAACATACCTCGGCGACTACATTCATTACAGGATCAGTCTGCAGTCCATTTTGTAGTTCACCTACAACAGTATTGGATTTCTCTTCTTCAGCCTAAGCAATTGGTAATTCACAGACATAACTCACAGTCATATATCACTTTGACACAGACAAGACGAAATATAGATACAGACAAAACATTGCTAAATACACACTAAACTCCACACGATAATAACATTTTTATGTAGTTCTTCAACAACTTAATTTGCATTTACTAAAACCAAGCATAGTTGTCATGGCGCATGGCGACATCCATGGCGATGGTGATGGCGATGGCGATGGCGATGGCGCAAATATAGCGTCGCCACGTGACAAATATAAAAAAAAAACTAAAAAAAATGAATTATAGACACTATAATTGTATCACCCAACCACCAAAATATGATAGAACAAGTTGGATAACAACATTCTAACTAAAGCATGTGAGGTTCAAATAATTTAAAGTAGTTCCAAAAAACATAATATTAAAAAAAAGTTCCATGTCTTCAAAATATATTAGCTTGTTTTGTTTGATGATTATTCCATAATCATCACCAATTGTGACACTCCTCAGTCCTCATCATCTTGGTATGAAAGCAATGGAACACCATCTTCATTCATCTCATTTGTATACTCGTATATATATGTTAGTTTGTAGTATGAAAGCAAGGGAGAATGGGAAAAATGTGAGAAATATTATTGATGAATTTTTTGATACATAGAACTGTGGATCGTTGCGCTTACCGCTACACTAAAAGCAATGCTGATAGTGTAGCACGCTCCTCCCCATTTTATAGCACATGCGAAGCGCCACGCGGTCCGATTGCACCGGCAGGCTGGCTGTTGCTGGCACCGCATACCCGCGGCCCAACAATCTCCCCCCCAGCACCTGCCAGCCTACAACTGCGCAGCATGCTGTTGCCGGGGGTCGAACCCGTGACCTTGACTCTGATACCAATTGTGGATCGTTGCGCTTACCGCTACCCTAAAAGCAATCGCTGATAGTGTAGCACGCTCCTCCCCATTTTATAACATATGCGAAGCGCCACGCGGTCCGATTGCACCGGCAGGCTGGCTGTTGCTGGCACCGCATACCCGCGGCCCAACAAGAACTGACTGCCAGCACCTTATTTATAGTTTAGATAGATTATTATAGACCTCCAGGAATATGTTAAGACTCTAATTAATACAAGAAGTCTAAGAGACTCATCCTTTTGTATTCTATGTTGCTGGACCAACTTAATAAAGATTCTCTAGAACAATCTAAAATAATCAGGATGCTTCTATGAAAAAGTCTCATGCTTCAACACTCCTCCTTGAGACTTTTCCCTGTAACACCGAGCTTGAACCTGAGGAAATCAAACATGCCTTTTGGTAAGGCTTTAGTTAAGATGTCTGCAAGCTGGAACTCAGAGGGACAGTGAACAAGTTTCACTTCCTTATCCTGTTCTGCATCCCGAAGTGCATAAAACTTGACTTTCATGTGCTTCGTCTTGCTGAAACAGACTGGATTTTTAGAAATAGAAATGGCTTACTTGTTATCAACTAAGATCTCAGTAGCTTCATCTTGTTTGTAGCTTAAATCTGCCAATATTTTCCTGAGCCATATTGCTTGATTGACGGCTGCTGAGGCTGCCACATACTCAGCTTCAGCTTGACAATCTAAAAAACTAGCTTCAGTTTTGGAAAGGGTAAAAAAGCATAGAGGTAAAACAGCACCCTCTATTGTATATTACAATATTCTGAAATAGACATATCAAGTAAATACAATACAACAAAGCATTTCATAGAGATAAAAAGAAATCTCTACTCTGTTTTGAAAACAACAAAAGATAATTCCAAAACAACTAGTTCAGTTCAACTAGTTCAATTCATCCATGATTAATTATTAGTGACAAATTAATATACTCATTTTAGAAAAAACATATCACTTCTTGGCTACTCTTCCCACATTACTGCCCTTGAAGTATGATGAAGGAGCAACAGTTCCTATCTACATTTCAAATTCTAGGCATCTTGTTGGGGCTTTTATTCATACATTTTATAGTCAAGGTAGAGATAAATAATATATTTAAAGCTGATAACTATTGAAAGCAGTTATATATTGACAATCTAATAAACTAGCTTCAATTATGAAAAGGGTAAAAAAGCATAGAGGTAAAACAACCTCTTCTAGTCTATTGTATATTACAACATTCTGAAATAAACATCTCATGTAAATACAATACAACTTCATCTAAGCAATTCATATAGATAAAAAGAAATCTCTACTCTATTTTCAAAACAACAAAAGATAATTCCAAAACAACTAGTTCAGTTCATCAATGATTGATTATTGGTGACGATTGATTATTGGTGACAGATTAGTATAATTACTTCAAAAAAAGTATATCATATCTTGGTTAGTCTTCCCACACCATATCTCTACACTTTCTGGACTTTCGAGAGCTTTGAGGCAATTATTGCCTTTTCTGCATCACACTTTTTTTCCCTTTCGTCATTCGCATGTTCTGCAAATTATATAAAACACACAAAAATAAAACGCAAGTTTTAAGTTTTATATTTAACATGGAAAGAAACAATAGGTTAAAGGCTCTCTTTACGGAGAGAGATACATACCTTTCTCAACCATTTCAAGCCACGTCATTTCCCCAGGTGTAGGAATGTACTCTAGCCCCTGAATACTGTCAGACTTTAGCCAATTCTGGAGGCAAATTAGAGCCTCCACGGTTCTAGGAGTTAACAAGCTTCGATGTAGATCTATAACCCTCTTTCTAGTGCTCAAACATGATTCAGAGGCTATTGTGGAAACCTGAATCGCTAGGACATCATTGGCGACTAACTGCAGATTAGGGTACTTGCTTCCATAATCTTCCACCAAGTCAATATGTCAAAATCAACTCCTTTATGAGGCTTTTCAATGGGGTCAAGGAGATACTTATCTACTTCATTGCCTATAACAATTGTGTCTCCCTCTACCAACTCACTATCCCAATTCTCAAAAAGTTCAGCCATCTTTCCACTAACACCAATTGAGAGATGATCGTTATTGCTACTATCGGTAGTTTGCTCTACCACTTCGACTCCTTTTTTACCACTTTGAGTACCAAATTTTGAAGCGTATATATCAAATGTCAACAATTCTTTCACTTCTCCAACTTTTTTCCCACCATTTCCTTACCCAAGTTCAGAATCTTTTCATATATTCATTCAAAGTTTAACAATTTATACCTTGGATCCAAAGTTAGGCTTCACCTTCACTTTGACCTTCACCTCCATCCCGATTGGGTGAATAGTGATGCTTAAACAAGTCCTCAATCTCTGACTCAATCATAATCATGTGATGGAAGGCTTTGGACGAAGTGGGGCGGTTTGTTGCACTCACCATCACTGTTACATCAAACAATATTTTCAAAAACTTCACAAAGACAACAGCTTTGGCCCAATCTGATTCAGCCAGTGGACCTATCCTTCATCATGGTGATTCAAGTACATACTCTTTGTCTTCCTCACCTACATATTCATTCTCATCAAAGTAACTCCACCTCACATCCTCCTCTTTAGCCATCCTTTTAAATCCCGTTTTCACCAGCAATGCAGTATCCAACATGACGTATGTGGAATTCCATTTTGTTGGAACGTCTAACACACACTTTATTGATGTTTAGGTTTCCATTTAGGTTTTCATTTTATTGATGTTCCAGTGTAGCTGGAGAGCTTCTAACATATCTAACTTCATTTCTAATGTTAGCTATAGATTTGTATAACATATGCAAACCGGACTTAACAATCAGGTTTATAATATGAGCTAAGCACCTCACACGTAGAAACATTCCTCCAAATAATTGTTATGGATCAATATTAGACAACTTCTTTTGAATGTAATCAAATGTTACCTTGTTAGCTGACGCATTATCTACTGTAATAGTCAAGACCCTCTTGATTCGCCACTGCAATAAACAACATTCCAGAATCTTACCTATCGTTTGTCCTTGATGGTTAGGAATGAGACAAAAGTTAAGCACTCTCTTATGCATTCTTCAACCATTATCAATGAATGGATCCGTAATAACCATGTAGTTTATGTTCTGAATTGATGTCCATGTATCAGTTATCAAACACACACACAATGGTTCCTTAGCTCCTTCTTTTTCTGCCTTTTTTGCATCGTACATCCTTAAAAAAGTTTTTACAATGGTTTTCTTACACGGAATGACAAATTTAGGGATAGCTACTCTGCAAAACCTTTTAAATCCAGGCCTTTCGATGGCATTAAAGGGTAGCTCATCAATCACAAATCATCTCAGTAGCAGCAATGACACAATTTTCTTGAGGCCAGTTTAAAACATCTTCATCAGACCCATCAAAGTATAAATGGGTCTAACCCTTACTCAAATATGTCCTCCATCCGTATCCTAGGCAAACTTGCTCAATGAGTTTTCTAAGACTACTAGTTCCATTGTTAGTAGAATGACAAGCAAGGTGGGTAGGGTAATACTTACATTGTGCCCTCTTGGTATTCCCTACACCAATTTTCTTTCCATCAATCATCTTGATTATGGGATGATCTACCTTGGTGAAGTCCAGCCCGGTCTTAGACCTCTCTTTTGTTAGAGTAACATTTTTTCCTCTTCCGTCTATTTGCATCAGACTTTGCCTTTTTAGAAGTTTTCACTTCTTTTGATTTTCAATTGATTCTTGAACATTGAAGTTAGCATAGACATGTGAAACCATTGCATTAATAATAAGATAAGTTTGGTAAAGTTTCTAGTGTTGATCCACAACAGAAATCTCATGTCCAAATGTCATCGCTTTAACTTTACAGTTTTATTAGAAACGTATGTATTGTAATCTGCACAAGGAAGTGTAAATATACATGAATGAAATTATTGTATATGTTGGCTATGAATTAAATGTTATGCTATGAAAAGAAATGTTATTCTTCAAACACAAGTTCATATTATATAAGTAATATTATGTGGAAGACAAGTTTTATCACTATGTTTCCAAATTTTGGTAAGCTTTTCTTTTAAGAAACCTTTTGATTGACCATCAAATTTAAAGTAGTGCGGCTGGATGGAACTATTTTGTTTTTTAAATAGCAATATTATAGGGTTAAATGGATGACATAGATGAGTGTAAATTAACTATATGCAACCATACTCAATAAACATCAATCCTAACATTAGTAACATAGAGACCGTTGTATTTCGTGACATCTGGGTTAGTTTTATTTATTGGTTGAGCGTATAATACTATAGTTGGTCGCGTGAAAAAGTAGCTTGTAATTTTTTATTTTATTTGAGAGGTAAGAAAGGGTAAGAAAGATAAATATATAGAGAGCTGAGATATGAGAGCTGAGACGAAGAGAGTAGTAAAAGTTTTACCATGCAAGTCAAAGCAAGATATCTCTAAGTGACTTGACTTTAAAATAAGGTAGTCTATGTGTGGGGCACTGCGACCCTAACATTGTGTCATGCAAGATTAATTAACAACAAATTCTTAAATTGTTAAATTCCAATAGCAAAATGTTTGTTGTATTTAATATATATAGACACACACACACACACACACATATACTTCCTCCGTTCGGTTATAAGTGCAACATGCACTTGGACACAGATATCAAGACACCCGGTAAAGCTATTGAACTTCACTCTTTTACCCCTCTGAGTTCGAAAAGAGGAGCCATACGAAAAGAAGTGCAACAGTACCCAAAAGGGGATAAAAAATTTACAGCCAAGGAAAAAACAGTAAGCCTGATGTACTGTTTACTTTTGCAGTACTGCCGTCTGCACTGGTGTACTTCCGCCTTAATCTGTCTAGCCAGCTGCTCATCGGAAGAAACCCCTCTTTGAGTCTCCTCCTCACCCCGGCGTGAAGCAGTCAGCCACCGCCTCCCACATGGACAATGATCTGCTTCCGCCAATCTTCATCACACATGGTCGCAGCCGGACGCCGCCTAGAGACCACCATTACCGTCGTCTCTCTGCTCGTGGGTGAGTCTGACGAGTAAACTGAGCAAAATAGGTTTCATGTCCGTCGTCCATGTCTTCCATTTCGGTCATAATTGAAATACAAATCAGAAAAAAGAAAACAAAAAATAAATGATTGAGATTGGGGAAAGAAATGGAGAAATGGCTTAATCGAGAGTGGAGTCTTGGAGATGAAATCGGTGAGTGGGTGGTAAAAAGGAATGGAATCAGTGGGTGGGTGGTGGGTAAAGAAATTAATTGAAGAAATTTTCAAAACACAGTAGCAAGGGCCCGTAAATGATGAAGGATATACATGTCATTTTGCTTAGTATTTCCTTCCCAAAATAGAAAGGTTGCATTTATTTTGAAACTGCCGAAAAAGGAAAGTGTTGCACTTATTTAAGAACGGAGGAAGTATATATATATTTATATATATTTCCAAAAATTGAAGAAACGTCCTAGATTGTCGCAAAATTAATTTTAGATTTCGAGAATTTGAGTGATATTGTAATGCAGAGTTATGAGCATCTCACATTTGATTCTAGTGTAGCTGATCTAGTTTCAAAAATCACTTTGACATCCTCGTCCAAATTATAAGCCTGTAAGACCAAGATATTCTCAAATCAAGATCTCATCAGTTTGCGGTTAAGTGAGTTTTATTTATTATTTTCAACATAACATGTATCCTTCTTTTAATACTTGGTAATGGAAGTTTTAATACGAGTTTCAAGAGGCCATATTACTTTGGAAACTAGATAAAGGCAGTCCAAAATCTTAAATAGTAGGAAATAGGTATACTTTTCACCCACTTATTTTGATTTCATTTTTATCGAGGTATCAAACTGATTTTAAAAACACAAGAGTCAAACAAAGATGCAGAGCAACTGTGATGAAAATCTAAATGAAATTCTACAAATGGCACTGCATAAATTAAATTAATGTGAAAGGCTCTAATCGAATACAAACCCAAAAAGGACAAAATCATTTGCAATTGTACCGCGAGGAGCAAGAAGTAAAGAAAATGAGGACATTTCAAATAAGATTCATACCTTACCAATGTTATTATACAGAGAAATCGTGGTGCACAAAGCATTCCGTTGTACTCTAGCTCAACCATAATCTTGAAACCAAGCCAAAGCCAATATAATTGGAGGCGCCAAATGATGAAGACACTCATGAAAACTAATAAAGAGCCTTCTTGTAAATTTGAAAGGCCCTGTTTTAGATATCAAATTGAGGCTCCACCTTATAAATAATATAAGGGCAGTTAACATATAGTAAGAAAGAATATATATACGGAGTATGAAATATAAGCTATATTTATTGAATGACAACTCTTTTTCATAGAGTAACCAAATACGGTACTTTAATCAAGTTATTTGTTTGTTTTGGTTTTAGCACAAAAGGCATTGAGGAGCAGTAATCAACTAATAAAGGTCAATCTTCTAACTCTGAATTGAAAAAGACTGGTTTAGTCTTCTCAAATTCTGCCCTATTTGCTCATCTAATCACATCTTTCGAATTTTCCTAATACATTGTATATCACTTCTATGCATTTCTCCTTCTGCAATGATTAACATTTCATTTTAAGCAATTGGAAGGTGCTAGGTGGTTTAAAAAATTATCTCCAGAATCAACAAAATGTCAAAATATATATTCCCCAATAGAACATTATTTAGGTCTCAAAAATGAATTTCACAGAATCAAATACCTTCGTATATAGTCAAACATTAATACATGATCAATTATTCAAAGGTTCACACGGTTATGAAATTCTACACTAATCAGCGATCTAAGATCTGAATTTTAACAATAAACAATAATCAATTAAATAGATTTAAAAAAATAAAACGGGAAAAGTGCTGAAAGCCCGATGAATGTATAAAGAAGCCGATGAAGAAAATTACAAAAGTACAAACCATATTGAACGGCAGAAAGCCTGAGGCAGGAAGACTGCTGGAACGACTGGATGCTGGGGTGAAATGCTGGGAATCGAACCGAAGAGAGGCAAGCTGAGAGAGTGCGGGGCAAGAGCGAAGAGAAGAGAGATGCGCCGGCCGCCGTGAGACTGTGAGACGACGGAGCGGGCAACTCAGGGAGAGTGTCAAACCCTCGAACGAAGTTTTTTCCTCTAAAAAATTCCTTTCTACACGTTTTTATACACGTGTCATCTTTTAACAAAGATCAAAAGCAAAAAATAATGAATCTATTACGGGAATTTAGCTCCTCTCCAGTTACTGGAGTTCTCCATTAGGAGAGAGATAGAGTGAGATGGGGAAATGGTGGGTAGGGAGAAAAAAAAGATGGGATTTAATTATTATTTTTAAGGAGAGAGATAGAGTGAAAAAGAAATGGAGAGATTAAATGGAGAGAAGGAAATGGAGAGGAGTATGACTATTACGGAGTACTTTTTATACTTAGGTTGTGTTTGCAACCACTATCCTTAAATAAAAGCACTTTTTGAGAAAAAGTGATTAGTAGTAAAAGTTGAGAGTGTTTGGTCAAATAAGTGCTTTTTGTGTAATAGAAAAAATAAAAAGTAGATTCTATACAAAAATCGAGGAAGTAAAAGTTGACAGTATGTGTTAAAATAAGTGTTTTTTTCTTAAAAAAAAAGTCATAATCACTTTTTTTAATTGATTGCAAACAAGCCCTTACTCCCTCCGTCCCAGAAAGCAGTTTCCCATTTGACTTTCACACTTTTATGCAACTAAACTTACCAGGGGTAAATTTTACTGTTTCGACACTATTTGGCACTGTTTGACACTGTTTTGCATTGTTTGCCACTGTTTTGATGTAGATAACTTTCCACATAAGGAAATGAGAACTTAAATTAGAGACATCCAAATAAAGAAAGTGAGAACTTCTTTCGAGGACGGATGGGGTATAATATTAGCAATAATTATATACATTTGACTAAAATAAATGTGATTTACAAAAATGCGACCTCTCAAGTGTAGCGACTAAGTAGTAAGTTAGTCACAATAACTTACGTTCAATACTTACACTTAAATGACTATGAAATTATACTATAATACTCCGTAATTATTAATAATACTTTTTTTAAATAAGTTTCATTTAAATAATTTTTTTTAGAAAACCTCATAATATTATTATCTGTATTTTTACGTATACTCTCTCCGTCCCATAAAATAGTTTTCACTTTCATTTTTGCGAAGCTCAATACAATACTCCATCCGTCCCCTTTTAAATGTCCCGTTTTACCATATTGGGATGTCCCTATTTAATTGCCTCATACCTTATTTGGTAAACTTTGTGTGGCTCAAAATCATTCTTACTTTATTCTTACTTTATCAATTAATATCAACTACACAAACTCACTTTTCTTAAAACCCGTGCCACCATCTCCCGTCCCATTTAAAAGGGGACGGAGGGAGTAGTTCTTATTTTCCTTAAAAGAAATTTTTTGTGATTACTAATTATTTACTTTTTTCTTACTCAATCACAACCATACATTTTCATTTTATCCTCATCTTCCTAAACTTCGATCCAAGCTAAAATGAAAACTATCTTATGGAATAGAGACTATTTTTCTAAGGATTTATGGTAATATATTTTGAATGAGGTATATATTTTGATTTCCTAATGATTCAATCCGTACTTCTCTAAAAACAATGATTCACTTCGTACTAACTAAACGACAATTAAATGAGGGAGGGTTTATTCTTAGACACAATACATAGGTTAAAACTCTTCTTCAAATTTTTAGATTTTTGCTAATTGCTACGGAGTATTAGGATTTGTTAGGTGTTCAACCTCACGGAGTTCCTATAAACATCAACTTCTGTCTTTGTGAGTGAGAAATAATTGGAAAAAAATGCATTTTGGCATTTGCTAAAAGTGTAGTACGAGTTTAGTAAATTTTAAGAAAAGAGGGATATATCACCCTATACACTTTGTAAGGACCAAAATATAACTCTCTTAAAATTGGAAAAAAAAGTTACTAATCCCTAGAAGCAGTTTTTAAGAAACTGCAGGAGACCAGCTTCTGACAAACTAATCTTGCTTCTACTTAAAAAAAGTATTAGCATGAACACTTTTCTTCTTAAAAAATCAGTTAATAACTTGTTCATGTATATACACATAACAAAAATCATTTGCTTAAAAGACCACCAAAATTGAACCACTTAGCGTATTAATTAAATTTAAGTAACAAATACATTTCCTTTAATTTGTTGAAGTAACAAATTGTTACGTACTGCCTCCGAAACAGATATATCTTCGCATTTAAAAGTAGGTGAGATTAAGAATAATGAAAGAGGATATAGGGGGTGTTTGGAACTGATTCTGCTTCAGCTTCTTTTTTAAAGCAGAAGCAGAATCAGAATCAGTTTTCAGAAACTAGTACCCCCAGTTTCTAAAAAACTGATTCTAAGAGTAAATTAGAGCACCAAAAGTGCTTCTAGAATTTCACCCAAACACTCCGGCTTCTGCTTCTGCTCCCTGAAGGAGCAGAATCAGTTATGAGAATCACATCCAAACACCCCCATAAATTATTGAAGGTATGATGAGAAGATAATGAAATAATGTGATAGAATGAAGGATAAATTCAAAAAGAAGTAGTTAAAATAGTGTATTATTTTTAAAATTATTGCCGGTATGATGAAAAGATTTAGAAATGTGAAAATATGAATGTTAAGGCTAAAAAGGAAAAGTAGAACGATGTGAATGTCACGGAGGGAGTATTTTATTACAGATATTTAATTGAAAAATTGTTAGTGTACATGCCTTGTACACAAATTGTACACAAAACCCCCTTAGTTGCCTGTATACACGGACAATTCATATAAAAAGGGGCATGACTTCATGTCAAATTGTCTGTGTACACAGACAATGTACATATTTTTTGTACAACTTGTGTACACGAACAATGGTTCTACGGAGTACTACCTCCATAACTTAAAAATCTTCCCATTTCAAAAGTAGGTAGATTAAGAATAGTGAAAGAGAATATGAATTATTGAGGGTATGATGGGAAGATAGATGAATAATGTGATGGAATGTAGGATAAATCCAAAAAAAGTAGATGTAATAGTGTACTCCCTCCGTAACATTTATATCTTCTCACTTTCTTTTTTTGGATGTAACATTCATATCTTCCCATTTCACAATCTTCCAATCATACCCTCAATAATTTTAAAAATAATACACTATTACACCTACTTTTTTGGATTTATCCTTCATTCCAACACATTATTTCACTATCTTCCCATCATACCCTCAATAATTTATATCCTCTTTCACTATTCTTAATCTACCTACTTTTCAAATGGGAACATATATATGTTACGGAGGGAGTATTATTTTTAGAATTATTGAGGGTATAATGGGAAAATTTAGAAATGGAAAGATTTTTTTATTACGGACGAAAAAGGAAAGTGGGAAGATTTTTTTGTTACGAAGTACGTATTTAACTTCCAAAATCGGTAATTTTTAAGAATGAGGAAAAAGTGAACAGGTGGTGGGGATGGAATCAGAAAATGGAATGTAAATAGGACTAGGAGCACCGCCCTTCTTTCGGCTCAATCCGTATGTGGACAGAATAGATGGGATGGGCCATGACTATTCGCAGGCTCGGCCCACGTTGATTTGACTCACTCCCATTCCATTTCAAACCCGTCTCGTTTCGGAAGTTTTTGGATGGAGGACAAGATAATTGAGTGCTATTTTGTTCAACCTCTTTTCTAAATTTAAATTGTCATCATTCACATGTTGTCATGTGTCATTTTACTGGACAAGATATTTGAGTGTTATTTTGTTCGACCTCTTTTTTAAATTTAAATGTGAGAAAACTGTCAAATAGGTCTTTGTACTATATCAAAAAAGTCAATTAGGTTCTTGTACTATAAAATCATCCAATTAGGTCCTTCAATTATTAAAAAACATTCAATCTTTCATTTTAGCAGGTTAAAAACGGGAATCACCGGTATCCCATGACCTGGACATCCAAGTGGCCTCTTTTTTCTGTTCTTTCCTTCTCCAGTTCAATTTCTTTCTCCTTTCTTCTATGCACGGCCAAGCATTCTTTCTTTTCTTTCTAAAATTGAGCAAATTTTTAAAATCGAAAAGATCCTTTTGCTCTTTTGATTCAGACAAATCTTTCTTGGTCTTGTTTGTTTCGATGGCCGGCCAACGATGAAGGTTAATCGAGGAACTTATTGTAGCAGTCAGACGCAGGCAGCAGCTAGGAAAGATATGGGAGACGGGCGGCGCGTGGCAGTGGTTGGGGTGCTATGGGAGACGGGATGCGGGTGACGGCCGTTTTAGAGAAGTGGAAAACGGACTGCAAAGTTGTGGGCTTCGAGCGGCGCACGACGGGAAATTGGGAGGATGTCCGGGATGGATGACCGCCGCCGACTGTTGGTGGAGTTTTAGGCGACGGTGAGAGACTTACGACAGTTTTAGGAATTGAAGCTATGGACGCCTGAGTTGATAAATAAAGATGAGACATTCGGATCGGATGCACTGATGCAGAAACCCATAAGGAAGAAGTAGTGGCGGAGTGAAGAAACAAAGAGAAAAGAAAAACATGGAAAGAAAAAAAATAGAAAACAGTAATTAAAAGCCAACTGGACACCACGTAAGCAATAAGCAAGCTTACCGACAAATTACCGGTGAAAAGGGCTGTTTTGATTATTTTATAACACTTTGAGGACTTAATTGATTCAATTAATGGTACGAGAACTTAATTGACTTTTTCATAAAAGTATACGGACCTATTTGACAATTTTCCCTTTAAATTGCCATCATTCACATGTTGTCATGTGTCATTTTATTTCTCTTTGAATTTGACACACCCTCCATCGCGATAGAAGGTTACCGTTGACGGTTTACGATGCTTGATTGACGATAAAGCAACTTAAATTCTGAGATTCACACTCTGATTATTTTTAGTAAATAAAATTTACATATTCAGAAACTACATTAAAACCGCTATAAAGCCTGATAAAAAATGCAAATTTGATAAAAATTTGATTTATAAAGTAAAAGATTAAAAATGATTTAAATTGATCATGTGAATAGTGAACGGGAATCTTCTAATGAGACGGAGGCAGTCACTTTTTAAATTTATAGTTCAACTTTTGCAAAAAAAATATATATAATGGTTTTTATTATCTTTGAATTGATAACAATATCATATATATCTCCCTACAGAAAACCTGAACACTCAAAATTAAGATTTATAGAAAAACGAAGCAGCGGTCACATCTTATGAGAACTAGATCCCAAACCAGAATGGAGTTTTGAAGACTAAGG